GTAAAAATCATTTTCTTTCTATTAAGAACTCTACTTAGTCTATACATTATCAAAATACATTCTTAGATAATATTCACCTGATCTATAATTATAAATTGTACTAATTGTTAAAATTTTATACAAACTAGACAATCAAAGACCCAAAATATATGGAATATGAATTAATTAAATATGAATTAATTACGATCTTATATATTTTTGTACTTTTATTGACTCTCCATCATTATCATTGTTGACAAAACAAAATTCAAAGTATTTTGGAGTGCATTGCAGTTCTCAGAGGTATTTATGTCGAAAATGTATCGCAATCGTAAACGTGCATTTCAAGCTAACCGAAAATTCCGAATATCTGAAAAAATTATTGCAGGAGGAGCCGACGGGGTCTGTTCTTCTAAATAATTGTTCTTGTAAGAAGTTTTTCCTGGGAAAAGGATTTCAGCTACATTGTTGACACTCTCACAAGAAAATATGTCGCCCTTCCTTCTTTAAAATAGCTTTGTTCCTGGCAAACGTTTTTAGGGTTAAATAAGGCTTATATAACGTTTTTTTATGGTCAAAAACGGCTTATATTATTTTTAATTAGGAAATTTTAATTTTCCTGGCAAAAGTTCTTAGAAAGTATTCCTTGCCTTGAGAGTTCGTTTTCCTGAATTTCTCGCCGGAAACCAGTTGTGACTTACAGCTGGCTTGGACAAAAGAACAGATATATTTCTCCCAGGAACCCGTCGGYTCCTCCTATTATTGTAACAAAGATTATTTAAAAGCCTTGCTAAATCACATCACCGTTTCATAAGTAGAGAATACTCTCGAAACAAATATTAGAATTCAAAGACTCACTAGATTAAACGACTTTATTAGCAAAACGAACCATTGTTTGATTGTTTGACTCAGATGATACTTTATCCTACGSCGGCTTTGTTGTTGACCCCGACCGACTGCTGGTCTGGGCTATAAGTCGTTCTTTTGCTTGTTTTCTTGACTTCAGGTGCGTATTATTTCTTCGTTTCAGCATCAATGCAGGTTTTCATGTTAGTTGTTGTAGACTTACTTGTAATAAGTAATCTTGTTTTAACCAGGATTTTGCTATTAAAGCGAGACGAGTTGAATAGCTCGGCGGACCAGCCTATTCCAAAAATCGCACTGGACAACTACTAGTGCAGGMCTTAACTTATATTTCTCTTATACTGTTTTACAGCTTTGACATTGTATTTTGATGTATTATGAGCGATAAATCAGGAAATTTGGTGGAAATTTGATCAACAAACAGTCAATAAGCAAGCGAAACGTTCCGAGCATGCTCTGATTGACTTCACACGTCATTCCTTGCCACAGGGTCCCCAATCATCAATTTAAATGAAAAAAAAAATTAAAACGAACCTAATTTTTGTCTGCGGACAAACCAAAAACTCAAATGAAGTTATTATCAAATCCATAATTTAGCTTCGTTTACTCCTTTATGTTCAAATTTTTGGAGAAACTACAATATTTTAGTTTAACATGAAAACTAGACGCCCCTGGGGCGTGAAGTCGAACTAGCTATTTTTGAAAATTGATAGACACGAGTGAAAAGATTATGATGTTATATTCTGTCTAATCATATGATTATATTAAGAATGCAAATGAAACTTGAGAAAAACAGGAGGATATTACATAAAATATAAAAATTAGATTAAAATATATATTTCTTAATTTTTCTCCAAAATAGTCGAACTCACGGCCTAATAAGAGCGTCTAGTTCAAAATATCCAAACTCTCTTGAGACTAAAATAAACTGTCCTCTGTCATGTAATTAATATAGCAATGAACGTTTTAAAACTAGAGTCCTTGCTTTCACTGATAAAATCAAACGTGCTATGTAGTGACGCTAAGAGATAACGTTGACCTCTCAGGCCAAGAAAATACTTTGCAAAGTAAATGATACCTATAAAATCATTAAACTCGCCTTTTTTATTGATAAAAAATGTTTCTTCTTGTTCTAATTTGAAATCTTTGCCCACACAACACTGCCTAACGCTAAAAAGGCCATTGATTTAGTTTCGAAAGCATACTACTCGAAGCACCAAGCGATCTGCACATGCGCGTACTTATGATACCTAGACTGATGCATTCCGATGAGATCACAGATACCACATTTGTAAACGAATAGTTTTTTTTTCATATAAAAGCTCGAGTAGCATATAACATTTACTAACGATATTCGTACATCAATACGTTTGAGCTTCCGGTCATGTAATAACACAGGCAACCCAATAGTTAATTATTAAATTCTTAACTTCCGGTGGTCCAAACGCGACATGACACATAGATAGATTGATTGACTAAAAGGTAAATTTAAAGTCGGACCGCCTTCGGCTAGTCCGACTAAAAATATAAAAAATGAATAATTGATGAAGATAGCGACCATCTGAGCATGAGCAGTAATCAACTTGGTTTGCCACATCTAAGCGCCAATATGTTTTAGTCTACTATGAATCTGCAATAAGTACATTTCAACTTGAAACCTAGTAAAGTTCTAATATAAAAATTAGGTAACACCTAATAGCGGAGCTCCAATAGCAATACAGAAGCTGAAAATATTTCAAAGGTAGATGCACTGTTCTAAGGAATGTGAGTTACAACAGTTTTGTTGACATGCGAACAAATATTATAAAGAGTAWGTTTATGAGAATTTAGTTCGTACTAATATTGACTTCGGTAGACTTTGTTCCGTTGGATGAAGTTTAAGATTATAATCTATAAAGGTCAATTGATTAAAAGTTAACTGAAAGCTTCTCGGCAAAAAGTAGTCTACAAAGCTTACAATAATCAACAATGTTTCAATAATCGATGTTTGAACCCGGACTGCTCGAACTTCACATATCACAGAAAACTGTATCCAATTTTTTTTTTACCTTCATTATAGAACTTGCGATAAATTATCGTTCAAAGGTCATCTTCAACAGAGCCATACTTGTTTCAAGCATAGGTTTCATCAATTTATTAAGTCATTCAAGACTGTAGATTCTTTGTTTTTAATCTCTCTCCATCTAACTGCTAGCATGGTCTTGGTTTCCAAATGTCCACACTTTTATTCGACAAAAGAACTTCGCATAGATCCCTGCTTTTTCCCATATTGGTCCATATTATTGAAGTATTTCCAATAAAGTATCATCTCTTCGCATAGATCCCTGCTTTTTCCCATATTGGTCCATATTATTGAAGTATTTCCAATAAAGTATCATCTCTTTCTTGTCGAAATATCAAAGTAAAACCATTTTTTTCTAATATCACTTTTAAGATGGGCCTAAATTGCTTTTCATCTTCGCAAATCGGTTTCCCGGATGTGCGGACGCGTCGAAGTTATGRCAAAATTGGCGGGAATATTTCTGTGCTGTTATTTCGCTCTTATGTGGATTTTTTCCTTGTAATTAATTGTTCTAATATTATCAATATGTAATATAAATGTTTAAGGAAAAAATTTCTATTTTTCAACAAATATTTGGCGCTTTGTTTCCTTTTCGAGCGGAGTATGGGTTTCCTGTRGTGGTGCACGGAATCCAGGAAGGACGGACGGAAGGAAACGTGCGTACGCGCGGGATCCCTGTGTCGGTCCATGAAAAATGGACTCGATGGTATACCATTTTTTCTTAGCTATGGTGCTCCGCTCGCGCGGGCCTTCGGCCCGCGTGGGAGCTCCGCTATAATGAATAATTCATGAGTTTTAGAATTATTTATATAGTGCTCCAAATATTTCAAGGTGCTTTACAATTACATTTGTGACTAGGTAAAAACAATAAGCGTGTACAGTGTCCTAGAATAAATTGCCATATTTTATACCCAATCAAGAAGTGTACTTACAATTCTCATCTGTCCAATCAAAAATGAATATTAAAATTTCCAACAAATCAGAATTGAAGGATATGATACAGTTATGCTACAGTAAGTTATGGACGCAATTCATCACCGTTTTCTAGTCATATGAAATTGACTCTAACTAAGCAAGAACATCTTAACTCAATTTCTTACTTAATATTTGTGCCGATTGCCAAACATTTTTCTAGTTATATGAAATTGACTAAGCAAGAACATTTGTGCTGACTGCAGAACAATTCAATAATGCATTTTTTACGAAAATTAATGCTACTTTTAACTCGAAGATTGCAAAGCAATCGAAGAGTTATTGGAGGGGGACGAATCTGTCACTCACTCAATCACTTAGTCACTCAGTCACTCACTTTCCTGATTTTGTGGTTGACATACATATGAATCATGATACACATCTGTTGTTTATAGATTTCTTTTCGTACTTACTAATAATTGACAGTTTCTTTGTTATCTAGATTGATTACTAAAATGACTTAAACCACACTTATGATTTAACAAGTATTTAAAAAAAAAATTCTCTCAAAATTCAGACTCAGATATTTTAAGAAATTGTCCCTTTTGCCTTGTTAAACCGACTACTATTTGGCTGTTTGTTGAAGTTATCGTAGCTTTAATTGAACTCCCGAGGTATCGATCGTTGGCTCTCAGGCAAAGTTGTGTTTACGTAGGGATTGTTGTTATTGCTTTTTGACATTTGCGGTGGTTTTATCTGCSTTTCGGATAGACCAGATGTAACGCAACTAGACGTGGTATTTTACATAGTTCTGGTAGACTTGGATTTATCTCGCCGGCGCTCGCCTGTGCTTGTCCAGAACCGAAGTCGAATTAATAAAATTTTAACGGAAAAAAGACTATATTCATAAATCGTTTACTCAAAATTCAATCAATCTTCGAGTTGTGTTGCCATTGGCGGCTTGATTTATTTTKTGTGTGCGTGTTTTCTGTTTGCTCTGAGAACTTGCAGCTGCAGTTTGATATCCACACTCTTTGGCTTGATGTAGTGGAAGAAAAATAGGATATAAACAGAATTATAGTAACTATCAACCTCTGTTACTCTAATTTTACACCAGAATTGGTAATTGTTTATATTATATGGTTGTTTTACTAAGATTTTTGTTTTTCAATGTGATACACAGTCAAGATTCCACAAATAATCAAAGTGCTAGCTGCTGGAAGTGTTGAAGGTCTTAGTCTTATGTCATTTGTAACTGAGCTTGTTGCAACTACATTGACAACTGCTTACAGCATACAGAAAAGCTTTCCTTTCAGGTAACATTGTGATGTGACTTAAAGTTACTACCTATAGCAGATCCTCAAGACCACAATCTGAATTATTAAACTAGACAACTGTAAAACAAATTGTATTGTGGATATGTATAGAAAATGCTGCATAATGAGTAATAAAGTAGATGTACATGGCCCACCTTAAAAATATCTAGGGTGTCCAGTTAATAGATGGCAAATTATATGAAAAACAAGTATTGATGAGATTGATRTACTTGGTAATATGATGTCTAGTTAATCATTAACATATCATTTATTTTTCAGTACTTGGGGCGAAAGCTTTTTCATGAGTATTCAAACATCATTGTTGATAGTCCTGTATTTCCACTTCAATCGTAAACCATCATCTGCTGCAATATTTTTTGCCATCTATTCCATGGTTGTCTATATTCTTCTGTCCAAATACATGTATCAACACTTGCTTACCCAGTTTATGTCACTTGTTATACCTCTGATGGCCATTAGCAAGGTAAGATTATATAAGTAATAGACCTCAAACCAGAGAGACTTCTAAACCAAATCTAAACAACCACCACAAGACACAGACTCCCCCCCCCCCCAAAAAAAAAAAAAAACTTCTAAAAAAAAACTTCTCGTTCTTCAAAATTCTAAGGGGATAATTTACACGGCCTTTCATAATTTATTTTCTTGTATAATCATTTCATAAAAGAATATTACATGGGCGTTTTGAGATACAAATTTTATCTTATCGTGTTCTTGAAAATATTTCATTYGTTTACGTATCCGCGCAACCATGTAATATCCTGTAGCGCCATGTTATGTACTTCTGGTAGCGCGACTTCACGCTCTAAGAGCGTCTACTTTGTTTTTAATTATCTGGAAATTCCTAAATTCGATCCTTCTGTGCTTTTGAATACGTTTGTTCGTGGCTTTCACTCACTTTGCGTCCTCTAGGATGAGTTTCACGATGCAAATATGATCTCAAAAAGGCCTACTCCGGGTCAGAAAGTCGCCTTAAGTCGCCGCAACTTAAGGCGGCTTAAGGCGACTTAAGAAAAAATCAGGGTAAATTGGGCGGGGCACTGTGGCAGCTTAAGGCGTCTTAAGGCGACTTAAGGAAATTTGAATGATAATTTGATGGGGTCCCTTGGTGACTTAGGGCATCACCCAAYGGTTACAATTAAGATCTATTTGGATGTGTATTAGTGTCTTTCTATGTGGAATTTGACTTACAAATACAAGTAGTCAAAAGAAATTTTCTATGATTGTTACATGTAACTATATACTGTTTACTGCATGAAGTCAGTGCTCTATAAGTGCAGTATTTGAAAATGCTATTTACTTATTGCAAAGACACATATATGGTGAAGCTTTAAGTGTCTTTAGAGTCTGGTATTAAAGACTGTCTCTTTTACATTTAGAAAAACAAAATAGTTATTATAGACAAAGAACATTTGAGTCATCTACTTTTTGGTTTTGAAATATCCTTTATAAGTGAAATTATGTAAATTGTTCAAAAAAATACAGATCAAGATCAACAAAGCCAAAATTAAAAATAATAAAGTCACTTCAACCATTAAATTGTACAAACTACTGCAAATAAGCTCAAATATCTGACAGAGTGCGAGGGTGCGATTCTGCACTATTTGTGTAAAATCGCACTAAATCGCACAGTTTTCGATTCTCTATATAATGTACCAAATACAAAATAAAATCCGGTGAATCTGTCTTGTAGACTTAAATTAACTTACAATTTTGCCATTTCTTTACAAAAGACAATGTTATTTAGCCAAATTCTTGCAGATGTAGCCTTCTAACAACAAAATCCCGGCACAGGCGTTCAAATGCAATCAAATGATTTTGACAGTCTTTTGCAAGATGCACTATGCAGTCTTACTTGAAAAGCAGAACATTTCAGAATCTTTTCYACTTTGATTTGTTTTGCTCTTGTATCGATCCAACATCAGTGAACTATAAGTTTAATACATGAACTATAGATTTTGTATAATCCGACACTGAAAGTCAATCAGGCTTGGGTTCCCTGTGGTCGAGGAAAACTTCGAACGAGTTATTCAAAATGGCGGTCGTGTCGGTGGTTGTTGATCGTTTTATAGTAGAAACGGATTTCCTTTTGCTGTTACAACTTTTACGTACAAGAAAAAGATGAATGGTAAATGAAACTGCGAACAGGAGAGTCGGTAAGAATACTAGAAAACTAATTAAACTCAGTAGTCTCAGTAGMTAAGCACAAATCCAGCACAAATCCAGATTATGTCAAAGTTTTAAAAACTAATAAATAATTATTATTTTGGTCTCCTTGATCTGCATATAATCTTCAATACCTGAATATTACCAAAACAAAAGGTGCATTGATAGTGAATACTGTACAATTTTATAAGCTTATATGCAAGAATTACAAAACAGCAAACTGATGAAAGACCAAATATTTTTTGTGTGTTTCAACTTGGTTAAATGTATGAGTCTACATAAAGAAAATTACAGCAATATGCAGAAATTGTGATCKTTTTCACTCATATTTCAAGTATATAAAATAAATCGGAAATTATTGGATCTCATCACCAACATTTTTTTTCAGAAAGTACTAGTGTAAGGCAAAGTCTTGAAAAATATATTAGCAATGATATCTCATAATTTCTGATATATTTAATATATACTTGAAATATGAGTGAAAAATATATAATTTCTGCATATTTCTGCATGAGTTATAATGTGGAAAGTATGTAACTTACAAATTTATGTACTGCACTTTGAGTGGGAGTTAGTTAACTTTGGGCAAAAATAGTCAATCATTCTGCACATGACCTCTTTTCATAAAAAGTACACAAATAATTACAGAAAATGATACCAATTGGCCTTATCATGCAAATTAAGTTATTATTTCCTTTTATACTTAAAGCAGCCTAAGGCGACTGACGGCGTCTTAAGGCGTCTTAWAKCGTYTTAAGGCGTCTTAAGGCGACTTTCTGACCCRGAGTAGGCCTTCAAAATATACCTTAGAAAGTATACTTAATGACTAGGAGTCGGCACATAACAGCGAAAGCTTTTTATATATCGTTAAAAATTGGTTAAAAAGTGTCATTCAAAATAATACTTATATCATTGATCGGTGTTTAACAGAATCATGTGTTTTCATTTAAGGTACTACAAATAGCGGCCAATTTCAGGCATGGCCACACAGGACAACTGTCATTTCTCATGGTTTTCTTGCTGTTTGTTGGAGCCGTTGCACGTATCTTCACCACCGTACAAGAAACTGGTGACCTCATCATGCTTTCCACCTATTGCATGACAACATGTCTTAATGGAATCTTAGTAACTCAAGTGTTGTATTATTGGAATGCGAAAGTTGTTGAGCATCAAAAGTCAGACTAGCTTTATATCATAAGCAGTTTATACAAATAAAAATATGTAGTTGATTGCTAACTTAGAATAGGGCTAACTCTTTTATTTACTTTAGGGGTTTTGCATGGCTAAGAACAAATTTTTGTGACCTTCTAGTTTATAACAGTTATGCACGGTTTTCTTTAACCGTAGATACGCAGAAATATTTAATCTAATATACATAATTTGTTCTGAAAAAAATAAAGTTCTTTAAAGGTTTTATCTGAAGCCATATTTTGAGTATCATGGTAGAGGAGTTTAAGTTTACTGTAAACCTTCGCTACAGTTTGCAAATCCCTAAGTTTAAAAAATATTTTTGCTTTTTTGAAAATAATCTTAACATGTTATATATCAAATTAAAGCTCTTTGAATGAAGAATAAGTCTGTGAGGTTATCTAACTAAAATGGTTACTTATTAATAATTTTTAAGCTGAAGTCACGATTATGGCTTTAGAACTTGACTTGCGAAAAGTTTGTTGTAAAACCACGATTTTTGTGCCTACTTCGAATTAGTAGACACTATGTCATAGAGTCTATGCAAATTAGTAAGTAACAATAGAATGACGTCAAAAT